CATATAAATGTGTATGACACGAGTATAATATAAGTATTTACTAACTATGATACCTGCCACCAAAAATATATATCTTATGAGTGATGATCCATTTGGAAGATTTTTAATATTAATTACTATAATATTTTATGATGATGTAAAAATAATTGAAAATACGCTTAAAGACTAATAGAAAACAAATTTTTAAGTAAATCATATCCAAATGAATATCTTCTGACGATAGCATATATGTAAAACCAAATGATAATATCACATCAAAAACCCTCCTTATGCTTTATATACAACCACTAAAACTATTCAACATTTGAATATCATGACAATTGCAACCCTTCGCCCTTCACAGGGTAGCTCGTTTGGTCACGGTAGTTTCCTTAAGGCCGTTGTCCAGCCACCCGCAAGGGTTCGAGTCCTGTGGTTAACGTGTTCGGGGGGATGGGGCCTCTCTTTCCGGATCGGAGTGGGATTAGTCGGATCCCGTAAGAATTGACCCGGACACCCACTCCGTCAGCAAAAAAAAAAAAAAAAAGACAATTGCAACCCTTCGTGATTTATCAATGTAAAATACCATTTGCAAGTATTAAGCTCATCATTTCTTTGCATTCAAAGTTGTAGAAATATTGATTCCATACATAAAACACGACGCCACTTGTATTGACTTGAACGAATAATTCCAACGCCTTTTATATCAAGTTAAGAATAATTGAATTCTATCAACTTGATGCCATTGAATCTAAACAATTTCCAAAGTCTTTGGTGCCATTTATTTTCTTGCCACCTTGCCGGAACTCAAACGAAGATTATCTTAGCTCAGGGGCCATATCTATTGTCCACTTGTATTTGTTTCTAGTCATTTTCCCCAAGAAGCTTGGTGGGTTTTCCACATATCCACGTTAGAAGTAGACCTTCAAAAAAGTGCAAAACAGCTTACTTTTGAGTTATGCTGATAACGATTGAAAGAAGATGCATTTAACCGGGAACAGGACATGCATGCAGTTAAAGCGTTTAGCAATAATAAAGAGGTCCATTACGATTTTCAAAAAGATGAATGCGACTGATCATCTGGGAAACACGAAAGTCCATGCGTGAGGAGGACCATAGTGGCAATTGGTAACTGTGCCAATTGTTCTTTTTAGTATCACTGGCAGCAAAAAAACAAAAAAAAAAAATCTATAGATTATTTGAAGACGTATATCGTTTGTGTTATTTACTTTAATATTTTTAATATAATATACGTGAAATAAAAAATAATCAAAAAAGATTGGAACATGTCTTTAGCAATTAATCAAAAAATTTTCTGAATAATTTGTTATCCGTATAGAGCCAAGAATTCTCAAGTGCATACAAAGCACATTTAAAAGTATTTTTTTTCTTTAATACTGGTAGGCATGTCAATAGGCAAGTCTTAACCAAACTCAATTTAAATCCATCATGATTTTTATGAGTTTGAGTCTAAGTTTTCAAATTCAGACCTTACTCAGACCTAAAATCTTATAAAAATCCTGTAAGGGTGTTATGCGGATGAATTAGTGGCGAAGCCACGTGCAAGCAAGTGGAGTCAATTAACTCCACTTAACTTTGGAAAAATTAATTTTTAGTCTTAGAAAATTTAGAAAAATTTAAAGTTGTATACTAGTTGACCCGTTAAATTTTACCAAATTCTATTTTTTGTATATATTGACCCCAAATAATTGAAACTTTATTATTCTTATCATCACAATAATTTGAATTTGTTTGAAGTTATTTATTGAAGTTAGTTCAAGAATAAATTCTTCCAAAATTTCCAAAAATAAAGGATGAACTTTCTTGAGTGGAGTGGGAAAACCAATTCTTCAATCCAATTTTTTCAAACTTCAAAGTTTCAAAAAACAAGAAATTTTCAAGTGGATGCTAAATTTTTTATTTACAATACAAAATTAAGTTATCATGATTTTTATTTGTAATAGGGTAAAGATAAATTTCTTAAAAGAAACCCATAGAAGATTAAGTTAATGATATATAGTTCGCAAATTATTTTTAAAAAAATCAAGAGCTTTAGTTACTTACATTCAAAAAGATGCATTAACAAAATTAATAATGAATTGATTTTGTAATGTTTTAATAAAATGAGTACTCCAAGATACAATTATAATCTGTATGTAATGTTAGCAATTTCTTTTTTTCACAAAAAATAAGTTTTACTGTACTAAAATTTGACCCCACTTACTGTGGGGTCTTGGCTCTGCCCTTGGGCTGAATAGAGTTTGTTTTTATATAATTCAAATCTAGATACCTAAACCTACACAAATGTGCTGTTTAACTATTAGTCAATAGATTTATTGTAAGTCTGTAACCATGTTTTATTACCAAAGGAATATTTTTTATATAAAAAAATATTTTGACACTGCTAGCTTTTATTTTATTTTATGTAAAATGAGTTTCAAAGATTAATTCCCATATGTAATATAAAAAAATATTTTGACACTGCTAGCTTTTATTTTATTTTATGTAAAATGAGTTTCAAAGATTAATTCCCATATGTAAAGCTTACATTACATAATGACACATATTCAAGGACACATTTTGGTGGGGAAGGAGGAAGAGCAGCTGGCCTCCCCTCTTCCTTCCCTCCCCTCCCCTCCCCTCCCCTCCCCTCGCCCCTAAAAAAGAATTTAAAACCTTTACTTTATAGCATAGGTTTTAACTAAAAAGTTCATAATTTTATAATTCTTGCCATCTCAAAAACTTAATATGTTTATCCTTTTTCATTTTTGCTGTACAATTGCAATTTTTTCTTTTTAAAATTAATTTAATTTGAATGTTGGATGTAGATGAAATTTGCAGAGAAGCTAGCTGATATAACTCTATTGTCATGCCCCATATCCGGAACATAATACCATCATATCCTGTAGCTAATCCATAAGGCACAAGGAACGAAACTAAACAAATTTAAATTCTGTCAAATATCGAATACTATTCCCTACATGGCAACCATTTCCTTCAGAACCAAAGGAGATTAAATTTCACAAGTTCATCCAAGGATCTAACTTATAATCAACCATTTCTGAACGCTTACATAACTAGCAAAAATCGAACATCAAATACAAATTCTCAGTCCTTTGGTGCAAATTTAGAGGTGTCAAAATGGGTGATTTGAGCGGGTTTGGATTGGATAAAATGGGTAATGAGTATAAGTGAGTCAACCCATTCATACCCATTTAATTAGATGGGTATAAATGGGTAAGTCAAAAAATGAATTGGGTAACCCAATTACCCATTTATAACCCATTTATTTTAACTTTTTGTAAATTTATTTAAATTCATTTTTGTAAACTAAGTTATCAATTTATACCATCCTTTGCACCCATCATTAGTTTTAAATATTTATTTATAATGCTTAATAAACCTAATTATCAATTTTTTCCCATATGTACTCTATGTCGTAAAATTGCATACTATTTAATAATTAAATAATAAGAATATAAAAATTTGAACTAAGTACTATAAAAGTTAACATAAAAACTTAATCAAAAAATGTTGAACCTTTAGCATTTTTTTGTGTGTAAATTTAAAATTTCATTTTGGAAAAATAAGAAAAGAGGCTAAAACTTGTTATAAATTGGTAATGGTGAAAAATGAGCAAGTTAATGGGTAGGGAAAGTGAGGAGGTTTGGGAAAAGACAATTTCTAAATGGGTTAATTGGGTTTGATGGGTTACCCAATAAATGGGTATTATTGAATAACCCATTTATATCCATATGCAAAAATTTAATAAACCCATACCCATCTAATCATGGACGGGTATGGATAAACTTAGTTAAATGGGTTTGTTTCACAGCTACAGGTACAATCGTCTCCCCAAGTAGAATTAACGACTGAGATCTCTAACTGCAACCTGCAATCAACTTGAAGGTGCAAAAAGATAACTCTCCAGTCCTTAGTGTCCCTGGAAGCAAATGTTTTAAAACTTCAGATATTTTGCAACTAAATCATCTTACCGTACAATTTTTATCACCTCATGTTGGACATAAATAAAAAAAATATTAGTAATGTTTTCACTGGAGTATATTGTCCTGAAGAAACCAAAGGCTAGAAATAAAGTATAATATCATTGTCCATCATTTTGACTTAAAATCCCCTTAAAGAATATTCTATTTTTCAGTTTACCCCCTAACTTTTAATTTTGCTCACTTAACCCCATTTAGGACAAAATTATCCTTGCATTATTTTGATTTTTCATTTAACTTGTTTTCCTTTCTTTTATTTCCTTTTCTCTTTCTTCTTTATTTAATTCTTCCTCTTTCCCACAAAAATTTTCACCTTAATGATTGAAATTAAAAAAAGAGGAATTGTAAAGATCTATCTTCTCCTTAAATGATTAAAAAAATATTCAAATCACTTTCCTAAAATACAATTGTTTTCCTTTCTTTCCATTGAGTCACGATAGAATCCACATTTAACTGCTACCGGAACACCAGCCAGTTTTAACTTCTGACGACGAGCAGTATGCCAGAGATATAGCAAATTGAGTTGCAGAACAAGTAAATCAGCACCTCGTTATTGTGACTACAAATTGCTGAATCGTTTGGACAGTTTAAAGGCAACATACCCACAATGGGAATCTCAGCCCTTGACCATTTGAGGCACAGAGCAAAAGAGAATGCGTCCTAGATGTTACTATCTAACTGAAGCAGGATCTTATTCAGCAAGGAATCATAGGACTTTCAAAAAGTAAAGGCAGCATGTAAGAGCCATCGGCGAGGTTCCCCATTGAGTTTTGGGCCTACTATCACTGCAAAGCACAAAAACTGAAACTCAAGATGGCATATACCATAGAACAAAGCTAATGGAAATTTTCAGATCATTGCAAATTTTTGTCATTGCAACCAGAGCACCGAAAGAAGAAACTTACTATAAAAGAAAAGCAACCCACAATCACAAAAGGCAGAGGAAGCTTAAGAGCCTTTAACTAGGTGGATTCACTAAGAGCAGCAAGTTGCAACAAGTAGACTTGACCAACTACCGAAATGCTTCAAAACATCCTGCTTAGACTTGACCATGTTGGAAGATACTCCACCAAGTTTTGTGCAACTTCATTGCATGAACGGTAAATCTTCCTTGGCTACCTCAACAATATCTTCACAATGACGATTTCTTTTGTTTTACATGTAGCATATTAAAAATCAAAGCGATTAACAGTCAAGATTGAGCAGTGACGTGTATCTACAATTACCAGAATTTTGAACCAAAACGCCGAAGTTTTGACCAAAAGCTGTGAAAACTCCTTGATTGACCATTGTCTTCATGGCTAGAAAATCATAACCGAGAAAAAGTGAGTCAGAAAACCATTATTTAGAGACCCAGAGCTATTACTAATCAAATGATTCAGAGAAGTATGCACATGCATTTTCAAGAGGTAAAAGTTACAGAGAAACAAATTCATCCCCTTAGAATCACAAGTTCAAAGAGAGCAAGCTGACTTTAGCAGTAATATCTTACAATTCTGCAGAAGCAGATACGGAATATCAACAAAACTAGACTGCTAGTTGTTAATATATGTTGATGGGGTATTTGTAGGAAATGCAGGCAAAAAAATTATTCAGTTCCAGCCATATATACGGTGCTGAAGAAGCTTCACGATTCTAACCAATGTTCGTCTAAGCAAAGAGACCACAAAATCATATTGGGAAGTATTGAAGAAAGGAGTGTGACCAGAATTGCTGGTCTAAAGAAATATGGAAGAGGGTTCACAAATTTACTGCATATGATATGCAAACTAAGCTGTAAAGCGCAATTTCAACAGGTGCAAGGTGAGAGAAATCATTTAAAGAGACTGAGCTAATCTTAGCGATCATAATGTACAACAGATCAGCTGATATACATGATAAACAAAGTAAAGTCAATTCTTAATTTCTTCCACAATGTTACTTGATTAGTTGATTTGCTTCACTTCTGTTTTATGCAAAACTTGCATTGGTAACCCAGAAAATCTAATGCATTTGGTTATTAACTGCTGAAACAATATATTAACTAAAGCTTCCGGTGAAGACATGGAACGATTTCCTGTTAGTGGTAATGTTATGATTTATGAAGTACACTCTGACTTTCAATCATGATACAAAAACATAAGAAAGACACCAAAATCATGGCACAAAAACATAAGAAAGACACCAAACAAAATTGAAAAGGACAGCTTCATCCAATTTTTCCATTTTTTGTGTAAGATTTAAGAAACTACCAGCATAAGTAAAGATTTACTCAACATCATATAGACCAAGTAGTTTTGAGATGGATATTGACTCTAGGATTAGTGTAGTGGCTACCGTCCGGGTCTTGAGGAATAACAATGAATCTTAAAGTAACAGCATCATTCTAGATATACTATGTTTAACTGCAAAAAGAACAGGCAAACTCACAAAAATCAGGTTGTATGTAATGGAGCTAAGATACAACTTCAAGAAGCGTGGTAGGCAGCTTTTGGAGGCCAACTAACAGACGATAAGTAGTCACAAGACAGACAGACAATTTTCTGCAACTGAATTGCAGCTAATTTGAGAGACAAGCAGTCTGAGGCAGAAAACCAATTGAGGTTCATAATCAGTGAATTACTACCTCATATCATGACCGACAGTTTGACGGCACAACATTCACAACGTTGATCTCAAACTTTATCCATCTCAGTCACTAAGAAGCAAAAGAGAGTGCATTCTCTACAATTGTCACCAGTTTGAAAATGATGTGGTTGAAGAAGGAATAACAGCATATTGACAGGTATTGAAGTAATTAAGCCACCGAAGTCTCCGAGGAGATTTGAGCCTAATACACTGCAAAATAGAAAACTTAAACTCAGGACAACGTAAAAAACATCATAAAGCTAACAGGAAATTTCAGATGATTGCACGACATTTCTGTTCAACAAATCTTACAGAAAGCTTAAAAAAAGGCTTTTGTCTTTGTTTTAAAACTTAAATTAGTAAGCAAATATGAAATCCTTCTTCTCAGTTCACAGATACCAAGTGGTGTCATGAAAATTGTTCTAGTTTGTGTCCAAAACTCCAAAAAATGAAAAGAAAAGTGGCAGCCAGTAAACATGACAGGCATAGACAGCTCAAGAATCTTCATGAAGGCGAATTCCTAGAGAGTAGTGACCAATTATTACTATTTGATGCTCAAAAGTTTAAATCATCACAGTTAGACTTAACTTTTCAATAAATGATAATCTACCAAGTCTCTGGAGCTTCATTGCAGGAACAACACTATTTTCCTTGGCAATCTCAAAAAATGACTTGAATATGTCCCTTTTTGTTTTGTTGGTTTTAGTTAACAAATTGAGAATCAAACTGCTTAAACTTCAATATAACATATTTAGAGAAGAAAGGTTGAGTCACAAATTAGGATAATTTTAAGTGAAAAAAAAGAGTGGTATCATAGATTACCAGTCCCTTTGCCAATACCAATTTAAAATCAAGGGGCAGAGAGAATTTGTGGATTGACCACTGTCAAGTTGAGTCGAATCCCATCACTGAGAGACATTGTAGAGAAGATCAAATCTCAGATGGTTCGCAACAAGATGATATGATGACAATTCATTTTCAAGAGGTGAAAGTGCAGAGCAACCATTTTGTCCCATAGAATCTCCACTTTAGGAATCAATGTACAAATCACAGTGGCAGACATATATGGTGAGCAAATAAAAACTGCTACTTTTTATTGAAAGATAGCAAAGGCATGAAACTCAGTGCAAATAGTAGTAAGCTATCATATTATGCATAGCCATCCACACCAAATAATATGTTCTTAAATATTGTAATCTATAATTGAGTTAGAAGTGAAGTGGATAATGTGACAAAACCAAAATATCAAACTGCTCATCAAATATATCCTTTATATCTGGAAAAAGCCAAAATTATACCAAAAAGAATTGATTGGATTATGAACTGAGTCTCTCGGGGAGGAACTAGAAGTGCCAAATGTGAGGCGTGATGCGTACTCTGTGTGCTATGTGTGTGTGTGTGTGTGTGTGTTGAGTGTGTATTGTGAGTGTGTGCTGTGACATTTTACCGAGTGATGGTGTTTTCTTTGCTAATAGCAGTTAAACGTTTTCAGGCTACCTAAGACAAGCAAAGTTCAGCAAAGCAGACTTCTGCCTTCAACAAACTAAAGTGCAATCAACAATTTAGATCTCTAATTGCAACTTATGATCAAATTGAAGGTGCACAATTGAATGCTCTCAAATTCCTGCTATTGCATTGCTAGACAACATCCTTGGAAGTAGATCCTCATAAGCTTTCAAATTTTTGTAAATTAAATAATTTTAGTTATCATCTCACATACTTCATAAGAGTTTCATTGGAGTATGTTCTCCTATAGGAATAAAAGAATCTATAAATTAAAAAGTCTAAAATCTCTGTCTGTGGTTGCTAGTTCACAATTTTTTGTGCTTGGACATAGTTTCATTTGAGGCTTTACTCCATGAATATGTTGCATTATCTTTTCTTTTTTTACAAGCAAATCAATAAGTAAATAAAATTTTCACAGTAAATGGTGGTGTGTATTCCTGAGTTTGATGAAAGCCATAGATTTTAAATCTCAAGAAATCTTGTTCCTGCATTATAATTATGAAAACAGGAAGTTCTATTACATTTTCTTGAGCTGGGAATCTTACAAATTTGAGTTTCTTTTGTTGCTTTTACCCTAAAGATAATGAGCAGGTAATAAGACTTGATACTATGTACGTATATTTTCCCGGCTTAGACATGCTAACCTGCGGATAATTCTTGAAAGTTAGCAAAACCTCTAATGGTCAATCTGTTTCTCTAGTAATGATCATCAAACTGTAAATAAGGATCATCAGAAACTCCTGGTGATGATGGCTCCCCAAAAACATCCGATAATTTGGGGCAAGAATATTTTCCAAGCAGCTCGTACAGGCCAGCTGATAGTCTTGAGCAATCAAAAACACTGACCGAAAACTTTCTGCAATTAAGTAACAACTATTTTCAAAAACAAGAAGCCAGAAAAAAAAAGAGAAAATTTGTAGTAACATAGCAGGTAAATTCTTACTTCTAGATCTGGTGACTGAAACAGCAGATTGATAGTGTGCAAACTCCGACGATAAGGATATCAGGTGTTGGCTATCTGAGGCAGCAATACGGAAGAAAAGAGTGTCATCATAAACATTTCTGTCCAAGATACAAAAATTGACAGGTGCCGAACCTGTGCAATAATAATAAATAAATCCTAACTACCACTTGAAACAGTTAGTAATCAATTCGAGTACTGGAGCAGGGACTCTAGGTGTGCAATGGGTTACTTGATTTACCCTGTTCCCGAAGAGTTTGCTTAATCCGATATACCTGAATTAATTGTTTAACTGAACTCCCTAACTAGTAGACAGTGGTAAGCAGGGTCGTCTCCTCAGGGACTGGAGAGATATTTGTTTCTTTTCAAATCAAGATTAATGGGGGGGGGGGTTCTGGTATCAAAAGCCAACTGAACAAATTAAATGCAGAAAGTAATTAATTAAAAGAAATAACTGAGAGAAAACTCTAGCCAAGGGTATACTTCAGAAATGGTTCATGCACTGATCATTGATGCAAAAATAATTCCAACACTTATTAATAGATTGGTTATAGTTGTCTCGCACGCGCTAAACAACCAACCCTTCCTTAATTTATCGATAGCTAAGGTACGACCGTTAGCTATTTCTCTAACCCAAAAATAACCCTAGGTACGACCGTAGGATTTAATTTCTAGATTGCATTAGCAATTAGAAAGGCCCAATCCTGACTAACAAACACGCTACGAGGGTTCATTCAAGCCATATCAAATATTCCCCTGACACAAATCCAATTGTGCCAGTTGCTACTGGAATAGAAGTAACGAACAATTACGGATTCAATCACCCCTATATAGCAAAATAGCCTATATGAACAATTAATTATTGCGCACTAATCAATCACACATAAGGCTATAACACTTAGAAACAGGAAATATATAAATATTAATAAATGGAGGAAATAGTTAAAATAAATTCGATCTCACAGTAATTTCTGAACCAAATCGTCAGTGATCCCCTTGACTAGAATTGGAGAATTAGCTCCTCATAATTAGAGTACAGGCCATGCGGCAAAGCTGGAGGAAACCGTCAATTCTTTAATCTAGGCAAACGGAAGACTTGACCTTCGTTCACTTCGGTCAACCGAAGAGAGAAAAGAACGACAATGGATTACGATTGCTTCAATTTCCTTCGGTCAAAGCCAGAGTGAAAAGCAATGACCAAAGTCCACGATTGCGGCTCTCTTTAACTTCTCTCTTCTCTCACGCAAGAAAACACACGAGAGATTGGAAGATTGTAATTGTTTTTCACTTCTCAATTTGGTCAAAGAACAATGAATAGTTCATAGAATCCCCAAAGTCAACAAAAGGTGCTAATGTCTCCTGCTCCCTCTACAAAGCTGCGGCTGTCTAATCTCCTTCCAGAGCCCAGGAAAAAAAACAAAACAAAGAGAAAAAAAAAGAACTCCCCTAACCTAAACCGCGCGAGAGATAAAAATACTTCCCAATAGCCGGAATTTGTTACTTGTTCAAAATTGCCACCAGACTCCCTCAAAATAAAATAAAATTATATCTATTACAATTAAGTCTCTTCAGCTTCTCAATCGGGCCCCACGTCCGATGAATCTTCTAAAAGTTGAATTTAAGCACTTTTCAGCAACCATTCCTGCAATTAGCACCAAAACAAAATATCAGTAGAATCCACCCAATTAACGAAAATATTTGATCAATTAATTATGCAATAATGTCCAAAATACCCACTAAAATGCAACCTATCAATCTCCCCCACACCTGAACTATGCTTGCCCTCAAGCATAATTAACTCAGAAGTACAATCAAGATACGAAGCTAATCACAGCAGTTCATACCAAAAACGGCATCCCCATTTTCCCAATAACCTCATCGAAATCAGAATATACCAAATCAACAATGCTCACAGTTCAAAGTGCACTCGTTCACTCCAAAGTGTATATGAAATGTATATAAGATGGCTCTCAAATCAACACAACAGAATGACACTACCATAAGCTTGCTCATATATCATATCTCCACCACCTACTCATGAACTTAAATGCAGCAATCAAGGGACTTGCATGGTTGTAATGGGGCTAGGGTGAAAAGGTAGGATAAAAAGGAGTCAAGAGGGTGTAAAAGTATAAAGGAAGTGCTCAGAAATTCATTACACAGACTCTTGCACATTGGGAACTTCAAGGCATCTCAACCACTACACAAGTAAAGCAAATTAGCACTTGCCGCAACCTTCGACTTTTCTCCTCTTTTCATTCATCAACTCACCTTCTTTTTTTCTTCTTTTTTTTTTTCTTTTTTCCCCTTTTTTTTTTTTTTTTTTTTTTTGATTGTACGCCCAACCAGCACCCTAGAAATCAACTTTACTTGCTGGTTCTCTGTACTTTGTCTTCTTTTCACATTTGCCCTTTTTTCTTTTTTCATTGATCGGTGCAATGCCTCTCAAGTAATACTCCAAAATTCTGTATAATGAAATCAAAGCACTTCTTCACACGAGGTTCAAAAAGAAAATCTAAAAAGAGGTTTCACGGCTAAGAGCTGGGGTCTCAAGCAACGAATAGGGGTTAAGGCTCAACTTGGCTCCCTAATGATAGTAAATAATCCAAGGGTTGGTTTTACGAAAGTTCAAAAATGGCTCATTCCTAGGTGCCCTATCATTTCAATGCATTAAACTCATTTAAATGTGGTCTTGACACGCATAACCGAGCAAGTTCTAGAATGACAAACCATGCGCAATAACCACTCAAACAAACGAAAAATTAGGCCCAAAAATCGCACAAGTGGTCAAATCCAGCATATCCATCAATCAATTCAATATCAAGGAAAATAGAACACCCCATGGCATGAACTTACTGCTTATACTCACATCTCAATTGTATTCATCACAGTTTAAAGAAAAAAAAAAAAACTACTAAGGCAAGGAAAATGCACATACCACAGCTCAGAGCACCACTAATGCATAATTAACCCTCCCCCACACCTAAACCTTTCATTGTCCTCAATGGAAGCGGATAAAAAGGAAAATAAAGCGATAAAGGCAACAACACTTCCCTTAATATGGCGGGGGCAGAGGTGAACTAAGGTCGTGGAGGGCACGGTGGCCGGAAACCCACGTGGTGGAGGTATTGTGCTAAATTCTGGGCCATGCCGGCCATTTGGCCCTCCATCCGATCCAAACGAGTGTCCATGTGTTGCATCTGGAACCGAAGAGCTGCAAGCTGGCTATCGACGGAGGAAGATGGTGGGGGTGCCGAAGAGGATGGTCCAGGTGTATCCGTGGAAGGACCACCAGCCTCCGGGGCAGTGGATTTGGAAGCGCTGCGCTTCGGAGGAACAGAGATTGGCCCCGGGGGAGCAAACTGGAAAGCGCCATTAACCTGTCGCACAAGACCCATTCTCTCCAAACAAACCAAATCGAGGGGTTCCATAGTACAAGCACGATGCAAATTATGGTTATTTAAGTCCAAAACCCCAAGATTTACAGCCAACTGAGTGATAAATGAGCCTAAGATTAATGGCTTATTTTTCTTACTTAGCACAGTTCGGAGCTGGAGGGCAAACCAGCCACCCACACTGACCTTAGTCCGAGTGACCATGCACCAAACGAAAAAGAACTCGGGCTTAGTCAGAGTACCCGAGCTATCCTTCCTACCTGAGAAACTATAGGCCATGAATCGATGTAAATAGCGGTAGGCGGCGCTCTTAAGATAAGAAGCCTTAAACTGACTGGGGTCATAGCATTGTCGGTCAACTGACAAACCACTCCAATAATCAAGGTAATGAGAGAAAAATGGCTCCGAGTACTCGCACACACTGTGCATATACTCCTCACTCTGGGAGTAAGGAATATCGATAAATCCAAGAGCCAAATTAAACTCAGTTATAGATTGGGTGAACTCTCTACCCATTAATCGAAACCTCACTACCCCAGGAGTGGTAACGGAAAATTCATCAGGAATATTCAACTCGAAAGTAGCATAGAATTCCCACGTCAGTTCAGTGAAAGCAGGTAAAATGATAGAAGCATAACGGGTCCAGCCTACGTCAGTCAAGTGCTGCGTGACCTCATTCCTAAGGTTCAACGTATCAAGTGTAGGGCCATGGATGTATTTACAAGGAATTATCTTCCTTGTGCAAGCCGAGGCATACCGCTCCTTGTCGGCAGCCCGGGTGAATGTCAAGTGACCGCCAAAATGGGCCGGAGTGGAGATATGAACCTCCCTATTCCGCCCAAGGCGAGTACGGGGCCCTCCAGTCCCAGTCGATGGGGCAGGTCCCTCTAAGGGGACCGTAGGCTGAGGAGATGAAGTGGAAGGCTTATTCTTGCTTTTGATTTTCGGTTTAGTCATTGGGGATTGGAAAAAAAAGGGCGAAGTCAAGGTGAAGTTGGGTAAAATGGAGCGGTGGTTAATCAACAAAGCAAAGGGTCCCCAAACACAGCTCCAAGCACCAACAATTGAACAAATAGCAACCAAACAGCCCAAGAATCAATTAAGTAAATAAACAATAAAAATTGCACCCAAAAACTAATTAAACACGTGAACAGCAGACTATTCCCCAAACACTACCAAATCAACCCAAAAATCACTTAATTAGACAAACGCAACAAAATTCCCCCAAAAACTAATTAAAGAAACAACCAGAGTGAAAGCTTTCCCCAAATATCTCTGATTGAGCACAAAGTTGCACAAATAGACCACAATCAACCACAGATATATCGCAGCACTTCAAATAACACACAATTTCTGTCCTCAGCTATCAAATCAAAAATCTGGCCTCAGCTAAGAAAAGCTAGTAATCTGGCCTCAGCTACTTAGTGACAGAAAATTAAAGAAAGAAATCACCAGAGGTTTGGAGGAGGCAGTGGCTGCGACCGCGCGTGGGTCGCACGCGCAAGGACTGGACCGTGTGAGGAGAACTGCCTCTGGGTCGCGCGTTGCTGGGCTTGTCTGCCCACTGGGGTTGTGCGCCTGAGTTGCGACGAGCTGTGCACGGAAGGCGGGGGCTGCGCGCGCAGAGAGGGCTGCTGGGTCAGGATGCTGTTTCGCGCGCCT